AAAAATGCTATGAAAAATCTATACAAATATTTCATTGTAGTTTGTATTTTACTGCACACACAAGTCTTTTTTCTATTGACTGCCCCAATAGACGATTCATAATCTTTATTCATATTTCCCCATTTCTACATAAAGGATTTACATTTCATTTACAACAGCTAGGCTGAACAATATCTTCTTGTAGCAAAAAGCACAACAACTTTTGGAAACATGGGTGCATCCTGTAAAATGCAATGTCCATAAGAAGTAGTCATCACCCTTGAAAGTTCACTGTTTTAACATCTTAATACAAAATCATTGAGAAGTTCTGATTGGACTGGAGAAATGCTGCACTCACATTCTGTGCATGTGCAAATCAGTTTATCTTCCTTAACCAATTAGCTCCTTTTAAAATCTTTAAATTGACTGTGAAATGTAGCTGATGTCTAATTCACTGTGATAGCTTTACTAGTGTCCGTCAGCCACATTGATTTCAAAGTGTTTTAGCAAAGAAGTCCACATGTGTTGATATGTTTATTTGATATATGACATTTTCTATCAAAGCTTTTACTTACTTGGTTTATGCTTCCTCTGATTCTTTACAAACACAGTGGACAGAAACACAATGAAGCAGAGAGAGAGCAGCAGGAAGCTGATGCTAAGTATTATATGTGTGGAGTCTCCACTTCTGCTGAGCATCTGTCCTGAAACGTCATATCACATCATGTCAGTTCAATCCAATATTATCATTACATTTATCGCTGTACAGCATAACAAAATCGTTGTTATAGCAGTGTTATGCCATCAACAAGATTATCTGTAGATAAGATCATTCTGTTTACAGACCATGCACTATACAGACTGAGTTGTGGGTTTTGTTTCCTGGAAACTGTTCAGCAAGTCCAGATGTACTGCATCTGTCAACCACAGATAGATATTGTCTCTGTTCACTTCACTACTTTATAAAGAATCACTATCTGAGCAGGGGGAATAGGTCTCACCGTGTCCTGGGCTTGCAGGTTTCCTCTTTCACATCGAAATATTCATGAGCAGGACATGCTATGCACATGTAGGAATACTTAATCAAGCCACCAACTGCTGGATTGTCTGCAAAGAAAAAAGTAAGAAAGACAGATTGAAAGAAAGAAAGGTGGGTAGATACAGTAGGTAGGTAGATAGTTAAGTAGATGGGTAGGTAGGTAGGAAGTAGGTAGTTCGGTAGGAAGGTGGGTGGGTGGGTAGTTAGGTAGGCAGGTATGTAGGTAGGTTAACATATTAAAATTATAATGAAATATTTATCAATTACAATGAGCCTGATTGTGTGTGTGTGAACTGACATTTCTAATTGTCAATAGCTAAACAATGTTTTCTTTTGGTTCGGAACACATGCAGTCTTACCTGTCCTTTTCACTGTCTCCCCCAAGACGCACTTATTTTTCTCACATGTTAAACACTTATTGTTAGAGCACAGGAAACCTTTGCCACACGAACAACGTGCATTTGTGGTTGATGTACATTTCTCAGCATAGTCTGTGGACAGACAAGAATTACAACCACATGATTTTCACTTGTTGATATTTTTCTTTCCTTTATCCACTGTGTTAAACCCATTGTCACTGACAGGTGTTGTATTGGAGATCACAAGAGCAAAGTTACCTTTTTCACATATAAATGAAATATCTTATCATTATCTTAGTCTCAGTCTTACCTTGTTGGCATCGCTGGCATTCCTCACATCTGTCAAAGCTATTGAAGTCGTCCGAGAAGTAGTCCTCAGGACAGGGGCTACAGACAGTCTTATTTTCAGTGCAGAATTTCTTAACATAATTACCTTCAATACAAGAAATAAATGCAGTCACCCACAAGAACATGGACAATATTCACTTACAATTAGATCAAGCAAAAAACAGATTAATTATTCAATCACATGTTTTACCTGGAGGACACTGGTCACAGCACAGTCCGTTGATCAAAGTCTGTTGCTTACCACAGCTTTTAGCAAATCCCAAAGTCCAAATACTCAGCATGTATGAAAGTGCAACTGAACGCTTCAGAGGAACCATCGTGACCAGTGTTTGGTTCCTGCTTACAAGGTTATATCTTGACTGTGGACTGCTGACGTCAGTGTGAGGCTGACACATCAAGCTGGTTGAGGAAGCGACAGACCACTGACCTTTATACTTTCTCTTTATTTGATTTATATAATCTACAAAATTCTCATAACTCTTGCTGGTATTTTCTGACTTAGTCCACATATACATGTAGTGTCATTGTAAAACAGACTTTATTTTTTAAATGGAACAATAGACCTTGTCTTGTCAAACAATTCATCATAATAAAAAATCTGTGATGGTATTTAGTCATTTAGATTGATCAATTAACAAACTTTACCTCTGAGACTTCAAAAAGAAACAACACACATAATAATGATATATTTTTTTCTATTGTCCCTAACTAAAAAAGGTTTAAAAATGCTTTACAAAATACATGAGAATAAAACAATTAAAATAAAAATATGTTTTGATTTAGAAATAAAGTGCTGTTAAGTCTAATCTCAAGCAAGGAGTTCCGGAGCCTGGTAGGTAGACCCTGATGGCAAAAGCCCAGTCCCCCTTACTTACCAGCCTTGACTTGGGAATTAAATAAGTGTTTGTTGAAAGATAACAATCTGGTTAATTTACATCTATCTACATTATTTCTGTGACAGTGTTGGAACAGATTGTGGTGGTCGAAACCATATGTACAAAGAATATGTTATATAATAAAATATTGGGAGCAGTTCCATAATTTTTTGGATTAGTGTTCTACACCTAAAATATATTTGCAGCATCAGTCATGACATTAAAAAGCCAGAAAAGTGAAACACATGCAAGTCTGCAGATGACGCAGTAGGATTTTTTTTGTTCCACCTAAAAACTCTGCTACATTTCAGCAAAATTGTAGCACGATTCCCAAACACCACTGGACTCTATGACCAGATATTACGGGGTTATTATGAGAAGGATGACCAAACACTACTTTGCTTTTTTGTCACCCAAAGTTTAAGTTTAAAGCCACTAGTGGACATTGTGTAGTTAATGTTGCTGGGGTAAAACTGCATGATGATTTGTAAAGAAGTATTATTGTGTGTAATTATTGCGTGTAATGTGACTGGGTTTGTTGACATTTGGTGTGATGGGGTCTGGTTGGGGGTTTCCTGATTTATTGTTACTGCAATGGTTGTAAGGCCCACATACAGACACACCCCAAAAAAACGGAATAATCTAATAATCTATTTAAAAATCAATCATATGTAGCCCTACTCTTTTATCAGATCCTAGACAATATGTTGTGGGCTCCACCCTGAGAGCGTAGAACCATCAAATCATGAGTTTGGGTTGACTTCTTACCCATCAAGACTTCATGCTGCGCCACCAAAGTCATTTACTTCTTCTGTCTGTCACATGAAAGCAGTTGTTTTCAGGATGTGACGTAACCAAAGATGCACAACCATAGTCTGTGACGGTGTGTAGGTACAATTCTGTGATGTAGGGGCCCTGGATTTCCCTTTAAAGCTGTTTTGCATAAGCAGAACACACGCACTGTGGGTAGTGCGGTGACAGTGTATGGAAAACACATGCGCTGTAAAACTAAAGGTTATGACATCTGATTCCTGTGAACACCAACACTGAAGATTTATCTAATTTAAAATCAGTTACAGAGCAAACATGGCAAATACAGTGTTGTATATATCTCCTATTGAACTTTTCTGCCTTAATGTTATTTCTGTACGTAGAAGTGTGTTTAAAGGTCTTGGGGAGTTCGAGTGCATGTGTGAAAAAAATTTGCTTTTCGTGGCTTTGTCAAGTCTCGCCTCAAGTGAAGTCTGGGGGTGAGGGGCTGGAAACAAGCGAGCTTATGAGACCTCTCTTACAGTGACTCATAAGACGAATTGTCTTCTCCTCGCTAATGGCTCCAAGCTCAGGAGCTGCACTGTAAAGGCTTATGGATGGAACGTCCAAGTCCAGTGGCTAAAACTACTTGGCTGACTCCCAGGGGCGGTTCTTAACCAAGTAGTTATTGCATGTTCTATTTTGAAAACTATGTTTCTCGAATTTGTTTTAGTATATTAAACTTTAACTTTTGAATTTGTTGTCTCTAAAATGCTGTATGCCCTGGTACCTTGCACTGCTCATAAGGAATTGTAAGAAACTATCTGAAAAATAACATAAACTAAGGTTTTCATGAATACAATGTTTCCACTTGTGATCTGTAACAGTGATTGTCTGGAGGGTGAGGCTGTTGCCTAAAGTCACTATAACAAATGTTTATAATCAATAGCAGTAGGTAAAAGTAATATTACAAATAAAAACAATAATCTAAAAATGTTAAAAGTTGAAAATGTATAAAGTTAAATGGAAAAATCAGTTTGTGATCATTTATTTCAAGGAGTAAAGTAGTTGTATTCAACAAGTCAGCTACTTGTACTAAACCCTTCATGGAAAGTACTGTATCTCGTTTAAGCACAGAGTTTTTGTAAAACCACATGCTGACTTCCTCCATCACTGACATTTACTGAAACTGGTGGACTGTTTCTGGTATGAACTCTGAAACAAATCTCTTAGTCAGTTCCATCAGTTATTCATGGTCTCCGTTCACTTGGAAAATCCTCAAAAAACACTGATGCAGTAAATAAAGCAAAATTAGTATGTTGTATTTAAGTGCAGTTCTGAGGTACTTGTGCTTCCATTTTATGACACTTACATCTGTACCACTACACTTCTGAGGGAAATATAGTATGGCATGTATTTGAAAGCTTTAAGTACTAACACTAAAAGTAGATCGTGGACTTACGTGCCCAAATTAAAAAAGACAACATAAGTACATAAATTCACCAAAACTACACACTGTGATGTGAAATCTGTGGTTCTCAACCACTGATTGTCTTGTGAAAGCTGTGTGTGAGTTTCAGATGTCTATATACAAACAGGTTCCAGCTACTGTAAATAAACTTTGATTTCCTCTCTATAAACTTGTTTAATTCAAATAGAGATGTTGAAAAACTAAAAACGTATTTCCTTATATTTGCCACATGAACCTTTGGAGGGGCCTGCCTCCTGTAGGTAGTATTTATATTTTATATAGCACTTTTCTAATCTCTCAAACACTTAGCTTTACAACTTATCTTCTATTCACCCATTCACATGTGCATTCCTCCAATGGTGACACATGCAGCATTATGAGCAGTAGGGGTCAGTGTCTTCGACATACTAATTGGAGGAGTTAGGGTTAGGAGCCCTCTGATCTCTTGATGGCCACACCATCTCCTGAGCCTCCACCTTGTCCAAGTACGACCTGCTTATCTCACACTGATAATATTTTATTGTATGTTTACTTAAAGCTGTTAACTGTAAGAATATCTTTACATTTGTTGTCTTGGTACTTTTACTTATGGCGAGGAAATGTATAGAAATAAATACGTTTTTAAAATAAGAAATGTCAGTTCATTTTTTTACTTTTCCTACTGGTATCTTAGAACTGGTCGAGTCAGGTACATGCTGGGATTTGAAGGCTTGTATATCTGATTCCTACAATAATGAGGATATTTTATGATATTAAAGTTATGAACAACACGAAAGCCCTCACAAATGTCAGTCTCTCCAATGGTTAAAATAAAGACGTGACAGGAAGTATTTTTCAGTTGGAAAAAAGAGGCACCACGAGGGAAATCCCCCAACCCAACTGAAAGCATGTTTTTGCCATGACTGTTTTCTTTACAGACATGATACCAGTGGAACAAAACTGAAAAACAAAACACGACACATATAGAGACACACAATTGAACAAAGTAAAATGTTTTTATAAGGCTCTTTAGCAGTTCACAGACAGTTTGAATCAGTGCTACTGATTGTTACACCATTCACAACAACACTGATCGTAGTTTATATTTCTCAGAATATAGTCTCATTAACCCATAATAAAAGGTCATTAGGCTTTAAAAAAACCAGCAAAATATGCACTATCAATGCATTTTACAGAGTGACAAGCTTGTTTGAAAACTGTTTAAGACATAAAAATATCTACCTGTGATAAATTGTAAGTGAAACAATATTTCGAGTAAAACATCTTAAGAAGTAAAAGCTCTTCTTAACTATTCAAATTTAAGATGATAAATATAATGATAAAAAGTGAGGAACATTTCACAGAGATCTTTCAGGGTTACCTTGTGGATACTGAACAGTCAAATGTTGACCACGGTTCAGAATGTGAACACAGATATAATTCAGGTTCACATCTGATGTATTTCTGGGGTAAACCCAACAATATGAGGAATATGTAAATTAAGTTATTCTTATGATGTTCATCAGATCCAGAAATTCACAATATTACTCGACAAGTTCAAGGAGAGTTTCACCTCATGGCTCCTGGGGATTCATTTTGAGAGAGGACAGGCTGCTGTCACCACTCTCCTCAACTGGCCTCCGACACAATGAATCGTCTGCTGAAAACAAACATTAAAGCATATTAAATTAAAATGGGGGGATTATCACATGAGATTATCAATCTTTTGTGCCTGCTTGCTAAAATTGAAGCTACAGCCAGCAGTTAACCTAAACTAGGGGAAACAGCTAGTATGTCATGGCACAACGATAATTAAATATACATACCAGCTCCTCCTAAAACTTACAAACTGATATGTTATATCTTTATAATCAGTACAATTAGTGTAGCATATTGCTGTGTTTCAGTTTAGGAGCTGCATACTTCGGTGGCTCCATCTGAAGACATTTTTCAAAGAGGTATTGTTAATCGATGAGACGTTATCACGCTAACTTGTTTCATCTCAACTTAACAGTTAATGGTACAAATATTCAAGGAAACCAAAGGGCATTGAAACTTTTATAGTCATGTCCAACTGCAGCTCTTTTGCTAGGTGACAGTAATTACTGCGGGACAAGCTGGGGATGTAAGATTTCCACTCTTTGTAAGTTAACATGTCTGATGGCTGTATAGCTTCACATTTAGCATGCAGACAAGAGTATATAAATCTCCTCAATTCCATCAAGTACAGAATACCACAGAGTACCAAATACAGTGTTGCACTATAACTTTAAATAGAATCAGGTTACTTTAAATCCGGTGACATACTTTGCAAAACTGGTTTTCTACGTGCACAAGGGGCGTTGTGCAGCTTACAAGTCACAACGGTGAGAAGAAGCAGTCCAACGATTCCAAGTATGATGAGGACCATACCTGAACCAGACATGTACAAAGTTACAAGTTACATGTTATTTTTCAATCTGAGGTTGTGTCATAAAGAAATGCCAACAAACACTTTACCTATGTGGTTGCCTGAGTTTGAGTTGGGAGAAGGCTCCATTTTTCCTTTTGGCTGGGGGCTGACTTTCTCTCCTGGAGGAGCTGTGGTGGTGATGGTGGCGGTGATGTGCATGTTCTGAGTAGAGGTCCCCTCATGTGGACGCTGGGGTGGTGAGTGTGTGATGTGGGATGTAGAGTTACTCCTCCACTCATTACAGGTGACATCTGTGGTGCTGCTTCCACTGGTTTTCTCCCCTGATTTACATCTGGGATAAAGGATAAAGTATAAAGTTGTAAACAACAGATAACTTTGTTTTATATTTACATGTTTGTGTGTTTTTAAAAGAGGATACAGGGGACATACTCTCTCCACTTTTTACAGGGAGTGTTGAGTTTACTGCTGAAATATCCGTCTTTGCATTTTTCACACTCTGAAATGGAAAAAGAAAAATCTTTCATAATTAATTTTAAAAAGTTGATGTTTTTGAACATCCCAAGCAATGTTGTGTGACCCCTCAATGTACCTCCATTCGTTAGTCCAAATCCTTTGTTACATTTACAAGTGGAGGAGTCGCTATCCCAGGGGACAAAATCTCCACGGCACTCACATTTCGTGTCTGTCTCTTTATCGCATTTCTGTTTCACTTGACTCCCCTGATCTACAACAATAGCAACATAACAACAAAAGTCTATTAATTAAATGCAGGTTGAGTTTTTAAAAAAGCTTGTTAATTTGGAAACAAGTTTAGACAGGAAATGCAGCTCACAAATGTTTGAAAATGTTTGGCTCTATGAACAGATTCATCACTTGACCATCTCTCTCCACATTTGCATGTCTATGAGCCCTTTGTGTGTGTGGGATTGTGTTTCAGGGTTAAAAAAATGAGTGTAAAAAGAATTTCCCATTTAGGGATCAATAAAGTATCTCTTCTATTCGTAATTCTGAAGTCAATCAGAAATAAACATGTTTTTTAACATTTATCATAAAAAGGTTCAACACTCACTTCCTTGACACCTTGTACATGGTTTGCACTCAAGAGAATTATTTTCTTCAGGCTGGTAATATCCATCAGGACAGACTTCACAGGCTCCACTTTTACCTCCCTTCTTTACTTTGTGACCTTGATCATTTCACAATATCATGAGAAACAATGTACTTTAATAACAGGTACACACAGCAGCACATGGCATAAAAAGAGAAAATATCCTGAAAGCTAAAATTAAACGTTCTTTCTATAACATTTTGAGGAATGATAAGTAAACAGCAGTACAAAGAGCCCTACTTTACCTTTGGGGCAAGCGTCCAAATCAACAATATGTTGATAAAAAGTCAAAGTGAAAATTAGAAGTTTGATCAGAACCATATTTGATGCGACTGTGCTGAGAAGTACTGCTGTGCATTTTCTTTATGAGGCACCACAGAGGCTGAAAGAGGAAGGAAACTAAGAAGAAGGAATCACCCACTTTTCTGACGTCAGAAACATTTTTAACATCATTTGCATTAACAGTTCACTAGATAACAATTCTTACTCAACTGGAAACATTCTAGTTTTGTTAATAGGGCTGAGGCCACTTATAGGTTAACAACCAAAACTAAATGTAAAATGTTTTATAATGTCTTTTTTATAATACTTTTCAATATAAAGAAAATCATAAGAACACTAACAAGCTCCCATTTGCATGTAGCATTCTGATTTAGGATTTCATAGTTTTTTTAAATCAGTGGAAAACCTCAAATAAGTTTTACAAACCTGTCAGAACTGCCATAATCATTAGTGATGTCTTTTTTTATGCAAAATCAGGAACCTCTATGGCGACAAATGTGATACCTATAAAATTATGAACTGTGCAGGGCAGCGTAAAGAAATGTGACTGACTTCTGTAAAAACGTTGTTGTTTAATATAGATAGATAGATAGAGAGAGAGATTAAAGGTACAGTGTGTAGAATGGAGTGACATCCAGTGGTGAAATTGCATGTGGCAGCAACCCCACAAAGACATGCACATGCACATTTTTTGGAGAGAGATTGTAGAGTAGAGTGAGAGTGATACCCCGTGAGCAATTGGGGGGCCCTTGAACAAGGCACCTCAGCAGGGCCCAGGAGGTGAACTGACACGTCTCCAGCTACCAGTCCACCTTCCATACCCATGGTCCATGCTGGACTTGAACCGGCTACCCACGCGGTTCCCAAGCCAAATCCCTATGGACTGAGCCACTTCCGCCCCCTAAAAACTTGGTTAGAGATGCCAAGAAGTAGGTGGCAGTGCCTTAACCGTATATGTGTTGAAGGCCACAGGGTCTCTTCCATCCTTGTCAAGGGCAGTGCTAACCTTCTCTCCTTTCATACAACACACGATTGATATGAAATAAATGATCAGCTATCTGTACTTCTTCATGATGCACTTTATTTGTTATAGTAACATTAAAACTGACAAAAGTTACAATCATTATGCATTCAGTGTGCAGTGGCCTATTCTCCATTCAAATGTTTTTGAGGAAATATTCTCAACTTTTGTGAAATAAACATCTGTAGAGCTATTTTGGTTTAACCTTTAAATGGGTTTCCGTTCATCTGTCAGGACTAACAGGAAAAAAGGTTCTGCGGTCGGAAAACAATGCAGCTTTATGTTTTTATTGCTCACAAAAAGACGACATTGTGCCTTTGCATGTGGAGTCAGGAAACGACCACATATTCTTGATCACTCTGAAAGATACCACACAAATGCTGAAAGTTCACGTCATGAAACATGACATACACCTCCGCTGTTGTATCTGGCTGTTGTTCAGTGAGCTATGAAAATAATTTTAATTAGAGCATCACAATAGGTTCATATTCAGGTAAATGGTTGTAAACCTGATGCAATATCATCCAAGGACAATTTTGCAAACTGAAAACATGAGAAGTATTGTGCAGTATTTGCAGATTAAGCTAAAGCTTAAAATAAATTGATAAAAATGTTTATTTTGACTGGGGATGTCATTTATAAGGTGAACACAGAGAAATGTCTGCTGCAGTTGACTAGAAGAAAGTTATTTAACCCCTTCTTCTTTAGAGACTAAACTAGAATGGTACTTAGTAAGCGCATACCTCCGCCAAGGCTCAAAATTCCCCTTAATTTTATCAAACCTGCACCAGATTTCATGCAGATTTTTTCAGTTAGATTCCATGAACTATTCTCTGGGGAAATGTTGAATATTGCCCCATCTCACCCTATCTCATTTTAAAGAAAGTGAAGAAAAAAAATCCTTGCTCTGTCCCCAATTAAGATTTGCACAAAACGTTTTATGGTTTCTTCCTGGAACCCAACCTTGCCCCACGTTTTGCGGAAATCCATTCAGCTGTTTTTGTAATCTTGCTTACAAACAAACAAAACAACCACAAACAGACAAGGGTGAAAATATAACCGCTTTTGTGCTGCAGCACGGATTTTGTCTTTGATTTGTATTTTGAGGTTTTCTGCACTTTGATAATGTGTTTTGAACATATTATAATTATAGCTTACATGAGGTTACATTACACACAACTTTTAGTAATTTCAATGTCTTTATCTGCAGAATATTTAACACTTTCTAATCAGAATTTAAATCCTTGTTCTCTCTGTGCAGACTTTGCATGTTCTTCTAGAGTCTGCATAGGTTTATGGTGATGAACCTGTCGCGGGTGAACCCCATTCTCTCTCCCCAATGTCAGCTGGATAGGCTCCTGCTCCCCCCGTGACCCTTACGGGATATAGGCAGTAAAGATAATGGATGGGTGGGTTTTATTAAAGAAGAATGTGGAGGTTGCATGTGTTGACTACTGAGCAGAAAAACAACATAGGCTGTTAATATATTGTTAATAAGTTAACATGGCAGTACCTCTGTTACAAGCGTCCATTTCATGAAGGGGACATACTGAAATCGTAAATGTGGTGATCTTTTGTCCTATCTCAGGTTGAGGTATCTGACATTTTTTTAAGGACTTTGTACCATTACAGTTATACATGCATTAAACCCCCCAAAACCAGTGCATTTAGTCGGTCTATAACCTGTACTTGATAACTCTTTGCATTTTTCTAGTGCAAGCCTCACCTGTCTGCAGGATGATATATGCTTCATGCTGCAGCAGAAGCCACATTTGACTGGTATAAAGATAAAGACCTATTTGGTTAGCATGATGCTTTATATTTACCATGATTAAGTGAAGAAGAAAAAAATCTAAGTGAGAACATCCAACAACAGTCCCCACATTAGTGAGGTATCATACAAAAGTGTAGCTCATGCCATTAGATAACCTGATTCCCTTCGGATGATACCGAACTTAATTGACTGAAATTTGAAAATCATACAATAAAATATGTCCACCACTCTGATGTCCTCCGATTTGTGTAGTTTTTGTGAAAGTTTTATCACATAACATCAAGAATGAGTCTGTGTAATTTCCACTAACTCCGTTAGAGGGGGGTAGTAGGAAGCCAACTTGAAGTGCTTGACATTAACATTAGAAGAAGAAACCGCTCACGACAGTTCTGTCATACGACTTGTCGTAAAAGCAGCCGGAAGAAATGCGGCACCTCTGAGCAATATCTGATGTTTAGTTAAAAGAGAAACTGTCTCATCAGGCTCCTGCTTAGCAAGTAACAAGCAGTCACCGTGTTCGTGTGCACCGGTACTCCCCCCCTGTAACGCTACTTCCTCTGCTGAAACACGTCTGTAAATTCGGGGAGAAATCTAAAGAATAACCGGAGCTTTTCCTCTGTGAAACAACGATCTACATTAACCGCAGTCTGTCACAGCGGGTTTGTCCAGTGATCTCCTCCAACAAACGATGCTGGTCACCGTGTTCTGCGCTCCGAGGGACCGGCCAGAAACCACCTTTGCCCTCGATGTGTCCCCGGAGCTGGAGCTGAGAGACTTTGTGGCACTTTGTGAGCTGGAGTCCGGGATCCCAGCGGCGGAGATCCAGGTCAGACCCGAGCTATGCTGCGGCCGCCCAGCTAATGTTGCTAACGGCTAGCGAGCTAGCTAACGCGCTAGCATGAATCGGAGTTTCGCTGTTTTGACGGAGGCGGTGTTGCGAAAGTATTTGTCAACAACAGACACAATTACAGACGCGTGTGCCCAACAGATCACACCAGGTTTCAAAGCGACAGTTTTGCCTGTGGACATCTTAAACTTAGCTGGAAGTCAAGCTAACTGTTGTCTAGCAGTTAGCCTGGGGTCGCTGAGCTTAACTGTGTTGAAATTAACACATTAACAGAGAATGTTGTTGCTCTTTAAAGCCATAGTTTTAAATCCAGTATCATAAAACAATGTTAGTTAACTTCTTAACATCACTCAGTAAATATGGGAGGAGGAGGCCCGACATTGACAGTGTTTACTTTCTCTTTACTTTACTGTACATAATAGTAACATTCATTTATCTTTGCTGAACTGTGTTGTCCTAGGTTTTGCTGTGTATTTAATTAATTGTATATATTATAGAAACAGTACTACGTGTCACTACTGAGCGATCAGAAATCAGGGTCCACTATACTTGGCCTGGGACCACCTAGGAGGATCATTCATTCATTTGATTAAATTAGTATTATTTTGATAACAGGCTAATGATTAAAGTCACTTTATTAGCCAAAAATGTCAAACATGTTCAAATTTCACCTGCTTTGTGTTGAGGAGTTTCTTTTTGTCGTTGCTCAATGTGATAATAAGATGATTATCTTTGTGTCTTGAATTGTTGGTCGAGTCTCAGAAATAAACATGTTTTTTAACATTTATCATAAAAAGGTTCAATACTCACTTCCTTGACACCTTGTACATGGTTTGCAGTCAAGAGAATTATTTGCTTCAGGCTGGTAATATCCATCAGGACAGACTTCACAGGCTCCACTTTTACCTCCCTTCTTTACTTTGTGACCTTGATCATTTCACAATATCATGAGAAACAATGTACTTTAATAACAGGTACACACAGCACAAACAGCAGTACAAAGAGCCCTACTTTACCTTTGGGGCAAGCGTCCAAATCAACGTGTTGATTAAAAAGTCAAAGTGAAAATTAGAAGTTTGATCAGAACCATATTTGATGCGACTGTGCTGAGAAGTACTGCTGTGCATTTTCTGTATGAGGCACCACAGAGGCTGAAAGAGGAAGGAAACTAAGAAGAAGGAATCACCCACTTTTCTGACGTCAGAAACATTTTTAACATCATTTGCATTAACAGTTCACTAGATAACAATTCTTACTCAACTGGAAACATTCTAGTTTTGTTAATAGGGGTGAGGCCCAATGAACAAATGAAAAAACTTACTTGATGCTTGTGCCTTAGAAACTATGACAGAGATCTCTACTTTCAGATTATCTTTAGACCAAATTATAATGTGAGAAATTAATCAATGATAATTATATATTTTTGCTGCAGCCCTTAAAGTGTGCAGGTGGTGACAATTACAGACTTAACAATGCAATCCATTATTAAACACTCTGAAAACAAGGATTTTAAAATACCTCGCCTCCCTAACATCCTTAGTACAGTTTGGTGGTTGTGGCAACGCTGGAGAGAGAAAGTGAAATAAATTGCATCAATAAACTTGACGCCATGATTTATCATGTATCTGGCAGTAATTTCACTTTGTAGATCTTGGTTGATAGGTAGCTCTTCCATCATCTTGATAACCATCTGAAATGTCTAAGGCAATCCACCTAAACCGTTTCAATATAAGTTATCATTATTATTATTATAGAATGCCTAGACATTGAAACTGTATATTTCATTGAATAAACTGCTCTGTATATATCTGTTTTCAGATCACATATGTAGAACAGCCCCTAAAAGACCCCACTCGTGCCTTGGGGACCTATGGTGTTAAAGATGGAGATGTGGTGGTTCTCAGGCAAGCTGACAGAAGGCCACCACCAACTCAGCCAGCCTTTCCAGGTAGTGCATGTTTTTGTTAAAATCACATTTAACAAATACTGAGGTTTCAATAGAGGGTTGTAAGTAGAAGAATCTTCCATTTAATATGTTATTTTGCACCCAAACAAAACAAATGATGCTAGTTGTAGTTAGAGAAGTAGACCTGCAGTTTTCTTTTATGTGGGAGGGGTGCGATACACAATTAAGGTCAGTCACTGAAAGTATGCTGGGGGGGAAAGGAGTAGTTTTATGATAAGACAACTGGGTAATGTTAGTGTAAACAAGCAGATATATCCATCTGGGATGTAGTTTTATGCAGTGAGCTAACCTCTCACTCTGTATCCTCTCTGCCCGTTAGGTCTGCCCCATATCGACTTTCGCTCCATCACAGTCCCGGGCACCTCTGCCTCAACCAGTCAGCGTAGTGCCATCAGGCCACAACATCCGGCTCCACCACAGCAACAGGCTCCGCTGCAGCCGCAGCCTCAGCCCCAGCCTCTGCCACAGTCGCAGTCGCAGCCGCAGCCTGCTGCTCAAACTTCCTCGCCAATGGCCTTTCGCGGCTCCTCTCCTCAGGGGCTGGACGACCCTGCCTTACTCCAGCAGATGCTGTTATCCAATCCCCATGAGCTTTCACTCCTAAAAGAGCGAAATCCACCACTTGCTGAGGCCCTTCTTAGTGGAGACCTAGGTGAACAAAAAAAACAGCCATCATGCCATGATTCTATTACTGTCAATAAGAAATGAATCCACCATGTTAGTATAACTGTCTGTGTAACCGTCCTCAGAACGTTTCACCAAAGTGCTGCTGGAGCAACAGCAGGATCGAGCCAAGAGAGAGCAAGAGAGGATCAGACTTCTGACTGCTGATCCTTTTGATTTGGATGCACAAGCAAAGATTGAGGAGGACATTAGGTATGGTCTAAATGCTGTAGAGGTTTTTTTTTCCAACACTTGTTAATATTCACATCTTGTTTACAAAGTGTCTTACCCTTGGATTTGTGCATATTCCAGGCAGCACAATGTGGAAGAAAACATGACCATTGCAATGGAGGAGGCCCCAGAAAGCTTTGGACAGGTGGTTATGCTCTACATCAACTGCAGAGTCAATGGCCACCCTGTGAAAGCTTTTGTTGACTCAGGTAATCAGCATAAAATCGTGACATGCTTGTTTTTAGGCCAAAAATCTGAATGGTACTGAAATGGTGATGTGCTGCAGAGTGGTTTAGTTTCTGTGGCTCAATAGATATAAATGTACTATTATAATCTGCAGATACTGTATGTAAACCATAATATCGTCTGTTATATCGACCTAACTAATTGATGAATATATATAACCAACACTGGGTGGTTCCCTACAACAGTAATTGCAGGACGTTTTGGTTATCGGTTGTGATTAAACATATCCTGATGTTTCAAATTTTTAGGGGCTCAGATGACCATCATGAGCCAAGCGTGTGCTGAGCGCTGCAATATTATGCGACTGGTGGACCGACGCTGGGCCGGGATCGCTAAGGGTGTGGGCACCCAGAAGATCATTGGCAGAGTTCACTTGGGTTGGTGTCAAATAGTCTCATGTCTTTTTTCTAAATGAATATGACATAGTTGCATAGTTGAGTTTACCTCAGTTGCTGGATATCTTAAAAGTCAACCTCCTATTCGTGTGTTTGAAGTATTTAGCGATCCACTGGCTTTAACAGTTCTCCCTTGAGATTCATGGGGAGCTGTTTTGGGTCGAGAGGCGGGTACTGTTAGGATTTGTACGATTTGCAGTTAAGAAATCACATTTTAAGAAACTTAATCACAGTTTAACAACCAATGGTTTAAACTAAGTATTGTATCCATTGCAGAAGGGGAAATTTCTTAATTATAGGGCTGAACTGAATTGCCTTGATTATCAATGTCAAATCAAAGTTTAAATGCTGCCAATGATACCAGAATAAGTAAATAAACTTTATTCATTATTCATCAACATTAATTATTAGCAACTCCCAGACAAACTATTATTCTAAGTGATAGCTCTCTGTATCACTGTACCCATATCAAGCCTCTATAAGAATAATTTCCACATTTATGAACACAACCTCAAAAAAGTGAAATATGTCAGTTGCATCTGTGTATGAAAACAAATTAAACTTTGATGTCAGATTTTTTTCCCTTCCCTTCCCTATTGGTTCAAATGCATCCATATTCAAGCCTCTCTACCTGATAGTTCAGTGTTGTTAACATAGTGTTGTCCTGTTGCACTCATCTAGCTCAGGTCCAGATAGAAGGAGACTTCCTTCCTTGTTCCTTCTCCATCTTGGAAGACCAACCAATGGACATGCTGCTTGGCCTGGATATGCTGAAGAGACACCAGGTGTGGGGCCCTTCTGTCTGATCACAGTGTTTACTACTGTTTTGGATTAAACAGGGGTTTGCACGTCTTTTCCAGTGTATAAGAAGACAAATTATATAGGTTTGTTATTTGATCCTTTTTTCTTTTTTTTTTTGCAGTGTTCTATCGATCTGAAGAAAAACCTGCTGCTAATAGGCACTACGGGCACTGAAACTCGTTTCCTGTCTGAAGCGGAGCTGCCAGAGTGTGCCCGACTGGCATACGGATCAGAGGGTCGTGAAGACGCCCGTCCTGATGAGATAGCTGACAGGGAACTGGCAGAGGCACTTCAGAGGTCCATACAAGAAAGCGGTATGAACCTGCTTCTCATTTCTGCACCTCACCCTGTTTTATATTGAGCTTTTTCCAGCTGAGGTGGAACTATGTTTGCATGTGCCACATAAAGCTTCTTACTGTCAACAATATATGTAGTCATCTGAATCATCACATAACCACCTCATGTCATCACCACCGCAAATATATTGTGCTTCAGAATAATATAAGATCAGGAAATCAAAAGATTTGAAGCATATCTACACATCTAAAAAAAGATAAATAAGCTTTCGGCTGAAATAAAGTTTTTAGGCTTAAAGGGGAACATTCAGGGGTCAAATCTGTACCTCGCTTCTCCAAAGGACTGTTAATTGGGGTGAGACACAGTAGACAAGCTACATAGTAGTTTTATATCAGTATTTAAGATTCAGCAATTTTGCTTCACTGTTGGACAGTCCAGTAATGTTAAGATCTTGGGCTCATTCTGCCTGGTTTTTACTACCGTGTTCCACGTCGCAGGTGTGTTGATGGTGGATTCACTGTATTTACTTTGGATGTAAGCCTGAACTTAAAGGGGCCATCAGTGCTGAACTATGTCAAGCTCTCTGTGAAGCAAACAAACTGCCCATTTCAAACGGGCATGTTAAGAACAGGTGATGCACTAGCTAATACAGATTCCCGGGAGAGCAACGGTGCAGATGGATTTCTGAAGGAGTGTGTGAACGGCACTCGAAACCAACAGCTAGTGCTAAAAAATGTAGGGGGTTGGTTTTACAGTCAGAACATTACACAAACCATTAGAAATGTGCTTTGTATTTCTCTAAAACAAAGTTAAGACAATGTCTTGTAATTATGATTTCTGACAAAAAAATGATGTCTCAACATAAAGAATGACAAAAATAATGGTGTAGTTGTAAGATTTGAATCCAAAACAGCTTATAATTGTTGAAAAGAATATCTCAAATGTTTGAGAAAAGCCACAGAGGAAATGCTGCTGGTGATTTAAACAAAACATTCAAATTACATTCCCAGAAAACTGCTTGGGTCCAAATCTATTACCATACACAGTGTGCTTTTCATGTGTATGCCTTAACAAGTTGTTGAGTGTTGACATGATAGTGATGTTATCATCAAAATTAAAAGGCAACTTGAATGACTTCAGGGTCTTAAACTGAAAACCTAAACATGCATGTTAAATCAGGTGGTGTCAACATCACAGTCACTTTGTTTCCTCAGATTTGTGAGATAGTTCTCTGATAATAAGAGGATGGTCTCACTAACTTAAGAGTCTGTATTTAGCAAGACATTTAGCCATGTCCAGTCATGGCTGCAGTTTGCAAATAGAATCCAAACAGAAGTACAGTTGTGATGAGTTTATGTGGCATCAATCCACTGATAGTCTAATTTTCACATGATTAAGTACTTTGATCAATCATCTGTCTGACGTTGCCTCAGGTTTAGTGAGTTCACTGTCATCTTTTTCAGAACATAAGATCAAGTTGTTTTTTTGGATGACACTTTTCACATCTGTGTGTGTGAAAAGGCTGATAGATTGGTGCATGCCCCGTGTGCGACTGCTAACTTTCTCCGTCCCTTTGCATGATGCGTGTGGTGTGTGCCTTAACCCCTGAGCAGGACAGCACTGATGCATTTGGAGACAGCTGGAGAGGGCCCTACCAACCAGGTACTGCAAATTCGCAAGTCCATTGCCAGTGCTAAGTCCATTGCTTTTTTATTACTTTTGATTTGCTGTTATTTTGCTGCTGGGTTGGTTAATTGATGTTGTACTCTAATGTTTTACTTCATGTGTATTCTGATACCAATAACATTTAAAGTAGAACATATGATATTCTATTTAAAGAGTTTCAGTGAGGACATTTTTGTTTTTAATGAAAATGACAATTTTTTTTAAGGTAGTGCTCCCAGACAAGATTCACACAAATTCCAGCCATTGAATTCCGTTTATGTTTTCTCTTACAATAGACACTGCAGATGGACAAACTACCTCACCACAGCCCCCACCATTTTCATTACCCAGAACCTTAGACCAAATGTCCTCATCCACCTCCCCCACCCAAGGCCCTTCCTCTGGCCAGTGGCAAACCGTGGATCGCTCTCAGTCTGCCCCAGCCGCCATGGAGCAGGCCTCAGCACCAGGGCAGAGCCAGGACCAACATGGCATTCAGGAGCTTCCTCAACCTTTGTGCCCTACAGAAGCCGCTGGTTCTACGACTCATCAGGTCCAACCTCACCCTCTGCCAGTCCATAGCAATTCCAAAGTGTCCCCGGTACCTAGTCCCTCAACAGACGTCCTCCAAACACAGACCCCTCCTGCAGACATGCCAACATTATCCCAGTATCCAGAGGATGAGGAACATTGTACAGCCTCAGAGAGTGAGGCTGAATCATTTGAGATACTGAACAGCTCAATGACCTCCCAACCAGAGGAACTATCCCCCATTCAACCCATGGAGCAGGAGACGATTGAGTCTCACAATGCTAATTCCGGTGAAGCCTGTCAGAGTGCTGCTAGCCAACCAGATTCGGTTGAAATGGAGTCTCCCACCGCATCCCATGGCGTGGTGAACACTGAGAAGGACCCACCTGAAGCAGAGCGCTGCTCCAGCTCCGACAGCATCCCATCGCTGGCAGCAGCTCTGATGGAGCTCCACGAGCTGCTGGTAACCAACAGCTGTGCTCAGTCCCAAAGCCGCAGCACCTCCTGCTCCCCGTCACATCCATTCAGACAGGACGCAGACGAATTGGTCACCGAGCCACGCACCCCGACACCTGAAAACACCCAGCCTACCCCTTCTACTGCTATTACATCTGGTGCAGAACCAAGCGATGCCAAAGCCAACCATGCTGCTGCTGTGTCTGATGAGGGACCATCTAAGTGTCTCGTGTCCGACCTCTCTGGCCAGGATGCATATCTTGGTGGAGATGAAGCAGAGACTGTGGGGGAACAAGGGCCACCTCAGCATCCAGATGGCTCTGGGGAGAGGGGGGCCAATAGAAGTGGGATAAGTGAAGCCAGTATCATCGGCATTACTCAGCCTGAGCCAGAGGCACCTCCTGATCCAGCTGCAGATCCGGAGCTCAGGGAACCTCCTGAGGAGCAGCAGGGGACAGTGGCAACAGATGGACAAGCCTCTGGCACCAACAGCCCAGACACTCTTGCCCCCCAGACTGATCAGACTTTTCTCAGCCTTCTGTCAATGACAGGAGGCTCATCTGAGGAAGTCTCTAGCACCACGTCCTCCTGTGTCCCTCCTCTTGCTCAGGCTCCCCAGCCTTCATCTGCAGCCCCTCGTCACCCATCTCCACATCACTTTGTAGAACCATTTCCTGCTGAGCACATCCAGAGAATCCAGGCAGCCGGCTTTTCTGCCAGGGAGGCTGCAGAGGCACTGGAACAAGCCCATGGTGTTGTGGAGCTGGCTCTGCTGGCACTACTAGCCCGCAGTATCACTGTGCCCACCTAGACTCAACCACTCTGGTGAGTCGCCGGCCTCCCAACTCAGCATCTGTCTTATTTATACCTTGTTACTGATCCAGATGTCTCAGTCCCTTTTTACCAGGGAGTACATCTAAACACAGGGAAATGCTGTCTCTTGGTTTGTCATGAAGAATATCCAAGAACAAACAGGACAACCGCTAATTCTTTTCTGGATATGTGAGGTGTGTTTGCATGCAGATGTTTTGGTGCCCACCCATTTCATTTGTTTTTAGAGATTTGGTATTATAGATTGATTTTCTTCTTTATTTGTTGTCCATCTTTGACATTTTATTAAATGCTCGATATAAAAATGGTTCTCGAACTGCTAAACTTTGTTATAATTTCTTATTGAAGCAGCATCATTTCTACACCCCATGCTGGACTGACTCTGACTCGGTGAGCTCTAGATCATTCAGCACAAACATGGATATTTGAAACGATTTGCTCCTTTTTCTCTTTTGTTTTGTTGATTTAATGTTGGTTGCCCCAATTTACAAATCAGAAGCTTATCATGGGGAAGCTGCAGTTAAGTAGGGTTGATCATTTCTGATCGAGTTTACAAATCACACACACGAGTGGAAACCCCTAAATTCACAGCCATTCTCACACTGAAATATCAACAAGTGAGCCACACGTGTGTATGTCTGTGTCGAAGTATGATGATCATCATTTTTTGAATCCAGTTTGTGTATTGGAGAAGGTATCTTGTACTGTATGTATCGTTCTCCACAGTTTGAATGCTCTGCCATGTATTGATTACAAATCTCTTTGTAGCTCCTGTTCAGAAAGTCCATGTTGTGTCAAATCATCCTAGTGTGTGTTCATAACTTTAAACGCATCCACTTTCATTTCGTAATCTGTTAGAATTTAGCCATTCGCAACTGTCAAATCTTTTGTCACTTCTTTCATCATATTATCAAGGATTTTAATGGCTTTATATGAGTCAAATACCGACAATGTTCAGGCAGATCGAATTATTTACTTTTATGAAATTTTAAATTGCAAATAAAATGGAACTAGTATTTGTATACCATGTGATACAAGTCATTTTTCAAACAAATGTCAACCATCGTTGTTTCTTTACCTGGTGTAAAATGAATACCTGATAAATGTTATTTGAAGATGTCACTTTGGGCTCAAGGAAATTGTGATGGGAATGTTTCAATATGTTTATACAATCGGTGGCTTATCATTCACCAATGCAGTACTGGGATGTATTGGGGTACATTTCTCTGTTACTGCGCATAAGTGCATTTTCATGGATCTGTACTTTACTGTACTAGATTTATTTATGGGTAATTTTAAATGGTACACTG